ATAGACCATATGCTAAATGGACAGCTCCATCTAGTAGCGCGCCGATAACTACGTCCGCCATCTTGGTAGCGGCTAGAAAACAAAACCATTGACTCGACCGGCAAAGGCCACATGTAAACAAGCGACAGCGCTTCTTGCGAGAGATGCGAAGCCAACGTGTTGCTGCGTTCCGCTGCGGAATAAACCTTCGATTCGTCCCTGTTGTAAACAGGGTTCACAATTTTCTTTTATTTGTTACTTGTGACGCAGCTTTCGAGAAAAACAATCGGTAACAACGCGAAGAAACATGCGGACGCTACGGCGCGTCGTGAAGCCCTTTACAACAATTGAACTTGGCTATAATATTTTCACGAAGCCGTACAAAATTTGTTTCTGAACATAGTTTTTATTCTTTTATGCCCGATGCAGTGGCGGCCTGCAAATTTTTTTGTGCGCAAGCAGCTCAATGTATGCGGGCTTGTCCAAAGGCCAAAGCTGTAAAGCGATGCAAAAAGATGACAGTTTTAATATCCACCACCAACCATAATTGAACACGCGCATGGTTAACAGTGTTAACAAAAGAAACAAAATGTTTCAACAAATAAACATGATTGGTTTTTATTTGACCTGATTTGAGTACATCACAAAGCCCTCATTTTAATATCATATATATATATATATATATAAAAGTAATTAGATTGGAAAGCCAGAAAATAATCTCATTGCTTTGCAGCGGTTTCTATAAGCTTCATCTGGCGCAGGTAAACTAGGTTTGTAAAACGCCCCTAAAAGTAAATAGGAGAGCTCCTTGATATAATATCCTTGAATATTTAAAGTGCACTCATGTAGAATCGAAAACACAAGAGACACGGATGACGTGTCTGTTAGCTCCACACTCCGAAAGACGGGATTTTGGTGTCTCTCTTGTCGAACACCATGCTCAACATAGTTCATCGCTGTGGCTAAAACCTCTATGTCGGCGTAGGCGAAAACTTATGTTGCGGATGTCGAATGGAGCAAGACGGGCAGTGCCAACTTCATTTCACAATCTCATTTTTTTGTCGCAGCCAAGGTGAACATATTTTTTTTGTTCGTGCAAAGAAACTTGGCGGGTGATTTTCAGAACGCGAATGTAGTTATTCTGCCAGGCTCGAAAATTTTTCATTATCGCGCAACATCCGTCAGCTGCGCTTGAGGCCAATGCTATCTGAAACCAAATTGAGGTCTTCGCAACGCCTGCAATATAGTGCCCATGCACATTTTTTTTTAAAGAAGAACACTAAACGCTCCACAAAAAAAAAAGTCCCAAGTAACAACTAAAAAAAGACAGAAAAAAACTAACCTTTAGTTGCATGTATTGGCGTGGAGCAGGCTATTGCTATACAGTGCAACTTCATGCGCATTCGCATCGAAAAAAGAGTTAGAAGTGTTCTCAAAGATAAAAGGCCCTAGTCTTTTGTCCATGTTGGGCGATCGGAAGTCAGAAAACAATATAGTTTCCGAATCGCACTCAGTGGCATAGCATCCATGTGTACGAGCGCAGTTGAAAGCACAACACATACAACCGCAAACACATGGTAAAAGCGCAAGCCATTGGGCCTTCACTGAATATGACTTGGTCATGGGATGAAGGGACAGATCAAAAAGTTAAAAAGAACACCATAAAACTTCACTGTTGACGTTAGATTAGTCCCATTGGCCCTAGCGTTGCCTGCGTCCGGTCTGAAGGTGCAACGAAGCATGTCTACGCATAAGTGTTTCATAACTCTGAAATGATGCCCTCACCTATCCTACAGTTTTCATCCAACTTATCGCGGACACCGATACTTTGTTTTACTTGATGGGATATCTATTCTGCCAGAATTCAAAGTACTCCACGACATAGCGCTCAATAAGTGAAACAGTCCGAAGAGAAAAAGCTGCACGCTCAAGGCCAAAATCGCTGGTAGACAGGAGAAAACACAGCAGCTTTGCCTAGGATGCCATTTTTTACCATTCCATCAAAACATGATATGCTTACCAATTATCATCCAAACACTGACTTTTCAACGTTAACAATGCTCCTTCATGCGGAAAGATGGCGATAGGTATAGATTGGCCGGTCGGCAAAATTATTGTAGTGTGCACGATCCAGTCAGCGCCCTCCCATGCTCAGGTGGTTTCTGGTCTGCTACGTCACGGAGCGGTTCTTCAGCCGTCGCCAGGATAGGTCTTCCACGAAATAAGACAGTTCACGTGTTCCGGTTAAGTTTGGTGAGAACTCTACATGCATATTTTTTGAAGCCGTCACCTACTCCTTAAAAGGGTACAACCACCCAAAAGACATTGTTCTGTTATTAAGTACATCGTGCCAAATGTTTGTTGCCTCGTTCAGTTGTGTTCTGATATCGTCTATAACACAGAAGCCATTGTCCAGTTGTTTATATACTTACGCGCGTAGGTCATACACTATGCATTTTTTATTTGGTTAATTGCTCTATATCTTATCAACGATCTTTACAATTAAAACCAAGTGTCACGCTAAAAGATTTAAAGTGTTTTGTTTGTACCGGCAACTTTTCCAGCAATTTTGAAGTCGCTGGCGCGTTGTTCCCTAGCTTTTCCTAGATCGACACGAATCGCTGAGATCGGGTCCGGCTCTAAACGGACGAGCAACTCGCACAACTTGGAGCCGTTTGAAGCAGGAAATCAGGGACGCGATATTTTTTCTGACACCCCCGTGGTGGTGACGATGACAGCTAACGACTTGTTTCTGGTTTGAAATCGATCGTTTTTGGAAATACATTTTTTCATGAAGATGGGTTAGTATTCTCAACGCAATTCAAAGATATAAAAAAACGTTTCTAGCGCGTAGCGGTGCGCCTAAATAGTGCGAGAAAATTCAAAGTGAATGATGATGATGGCAAGTCGTAGCAATTCGGTTGCTGCGTGTGAACGCGGGCGCCCCGTGTTGCTGATGTTGCGACGTCAAGTTGCTAGGCGAAATGGCTCCCTTTGAAGCGGGCCTAAATAACGACTAAACTGTAGCCATAGAGCTGGACTAAGCAGTGTCGCGATACAAATGTATGTATCGCGATAGTATATTCAAGACTCTTTCGTGTTTCTGTATTTCGATATCGAGACATATTTCAATAAATTATTTTCATCTCATTGGTGAGCTATATTTACAATGTGGCGCTTACATTGTAATACTTTTCCAGCACTGTGCTTTTGTTACGTTTGTTTCTCAAAATAGTCGAATACGAAAGTCCTATATATAGTAATCAGTCACCAAAGCACGGGCACTTCTGATACACTTCTGAAAAAAAAAAAAGTAACTCCGAATATTTTTACAGATAAATAGATCTATACATACGATATCCATACATACTATACATTATTTCGCGAATCTTAATAGGTCAGGAGGCAGCAGTTCGTGACGGATGCAGATAGTAGCTACTATCTGCATCTGTCACGAACTGCTGCCTCCTTAAAGGGGCCCTGCAATCATATTTAAGCGTCTACCTGTTTTGCGGTTTCCAGGTCTCTTGGGGCTCGGGCAAGCCAGCGGGCACGCAGAGAGTAACTAAATATCAGTGCGTAATATTTAACCGGACGACTCGGAAACCTCCTCCACCGACGAGGGCGACCCACGGTACCGAAAACGCGCAAAATGTGACGTCTTTGGTCCTGAGCTTACTACTGGTCAAAGCCGCTAAAAGCTTCTTTTTAGTCGAACTGCAAAATATAAGTGGCGCGCACCGTTTCAATTATGTATAAAATTAGTTTTTGTTCAGTATTATATATCAGAAAAGAAACAAATGCAGTTTATAAACTACGGAAACAAGAAATGACTCGTCGACATACCCACCACCAAGCGGTGGAAAAGGCGTCGCATACTAGAAAGGAGTAGTGGGATCAGGCGCCGACACGGAAAGGTCCCGGATGTACGGGGCGGCGCTGTGGTCGCATGGGCAGGAGGCTCTGATCGGCTCCAAGCGTTCCGTAGGCCTTCGGCGAGAACCTTTGTCTTGCGGTTTGGCCGTTTTGCGGTATGGCAGCGCGAAGTCTCTCCCATTCTGCACTGATCTTTGCCCGTGTTTGCGGTCGTTTGTGGCCAATGAAGTGTCATGCCGAATCAGTGTTTAATCGCGCAGCAAATGCAATGAGAGCCGCTCTGGCCGCCCGCTGCATACAGCCTATTCAACATGTGCTTTAGTGGCGCCCTCTCGAGCCGTCGACACGGAGTGCGGCGGCCGTGAGCGCTGGATGAGCCCACTCTAGTTCACGGCCACTCAAGCAACCAAGGACGTCATGAGGGAGGTTTTTTTTTTTTTTTGCTTGTTTTTGTAATTTTAATTTGCATAACTTTTAAAATAAAGCGAATTTCGAGAAAAGAAAAGTTTTACAAAGTTACTACGTTCAGTGCGCTCAGGTTCGGTGCAAATTAAAAACCAGTAAAAAAGTCCTTGGAGGGCCCCTTTAAGGACTTAAGGTTCGGTAAATAATGTACAGTATGTACCTATGAATGCACAATGTATGTATACATCTATTTATCTGTAAATGTATTCGGAGTTATTTTTTCCCCTTTTTTCGGAAGTATATAAAGGATACCCCAGTACTTCAGAGACAAATGTGTCTAAGTATCTGTTTTTTCGTCTTAACATTTCTGTATCTCAGTATTTGTGTTCCGGGATACTTTGGGGGGCATCTCTTCACAGCCCTGCCATACAAAAACCTTAATATTTTATTTTAGAAGTAGGAAGCTAATAACAATTTTTTTCCTGTTTGTTGTTGTTGCATGGGGAAAGGGGGGGGGGGGCGCAGAAAACCTTAGAAGATGTTGAATTTGAACAACGTTGTTTTCTATAAAATACACGAGCGTGCTGCAATATTTCTGTATTTAAAAAAAAAGGGTAATGAAATTAAAAGAATCAGTTTGACGTTTTGTTTAGTTAGAAAATTATTACACCAAGCTAAAAGTCAAAATGGCTTTTATACAAGAGTTTAATGTTTTGTTTAAAACTGACTTCAATTTTCAGACTGTAACCTGATGGTGACAAAAGACCACTTTGATAAGCCTCTGAAAAGATGCCTCAAAAAATTCATAAAGCACTGCAATGGTCAGGCATTCAACTACACAATCAAGGACTGCCCTTATCCAGAAACCAAGAATTAAAATTATATGAACATTCTGAAGGTCCTTCAAGTATATATTTTAAAGTAATACATTTTTTTTTGTTCCAAAACCTTCCTGTTTCGCTACCGATTCATATATTTGAACAACACCAATTTTCGGAGTGAGGAAATTGTGCTGTATAACGTCAGAACTTTTTTCTCATACGTTGCTGTCATATTCTAGCCTTTCCGCACACATCTGTGACACTTTAATTTTCATAAAAGTTCCAGAAGCTAGATTCACATTTTGATATGAATGTTTCCGAGGGACCCAAGACGTTCTCATGAGAAAAAAAGCATTTTGCGGCGATCAGATCACGTGATGCCTTAAGACAGCGATAGCTGTGCTCCTTATCCTTCGATATGACGATGACGATCGATTCTCATTGCGGCGATCGTGCCTCCTACGGTGATCTGATATTGGAATGGCGTTGGCTTGATTTAGCGTCAATATGTCGCTGATTAATGAATAAATGACTTTAAGGTCGTGATGCGTTTTCCCGCCAAATTTAACGGGAAACAAAATGTTAGCATAAATCACGTGAAGTCAATTTTTTCCGCTAAATATAGCGGGAAAACTGAATTGGTGAATGGGTCATGTGAAGTTGTGTTTTTCGCTAAATTTAGATGGGAAAATCGATGTCACGTGACCTGGCGTCACGGGATCTATAGACAAATTAGGCTCCCCAAAAAATTTTGTGCGGAAACTGAATTCGTGCATTGGTCAAGCAACGTAAATTTTTCCGGTAAATTTAACGGGGAAGCTGAATTGGTCCATACGTCTTGTAACGTCAACTTCTATGCTAAATTTGGCGGGGAAAGCTTTTGTTTACGCTTACGCAGTCAAAATACCGGGGATCAAGCCACTAAAAGCTGGCGCTGTGAAAACGAAAATGCTTGGGGAGTAGCACATCTTCTGCTGAAGTTTTCACTTTTATTGATTCTTTTTTTTTTAAATTTCGATGCCCCTCTTTAATTCATAAAACGTGTGCCTCTTTATGCCGGTCGATAGGTCCGTACCGGCTATCAGCATTCACGTACCGGCCACTCCCAGCTTATACCGGTTTCTGGTACACGTTTATGGGTCACTGGTTATCGAATGCGGGGCATGCTGCATCGGATGCCGACTGCCGACATGGGTTTGCACCGGCAAATCGGCTAATGGCTGCCGAAACGCCGGTAGGATGTTATCGGACGCACATCACATTGCCAGTCGACCAGTACTCTCGTAATGGTAACGGTATTGTAAAAATGGTCACCATTACCCCACACTGTTGCCCTGTAAGTTATTTACATACAACAATAGGCTGTACCGGTAGGCCGTTTTTTACACGAGTATAAAAATCGTTTAATAAAACACACGGTGATCCCGCTGCGGATATCACACATTCCATGACAATTCTCACGCATGGGCTCTTGAGAATACCGATTTTTATAAGAATAAAAAAAAGAAAACTTAAATTTCTACAGGGCCCATGTAGCACAAAGTGGTATTCGAAAGTTGGGCCGACCTGGGTCCCACGTCGGTTAATCAAATCGGGCCGAAGCGGGGCTAGCTCAGGCTGCTCACCTGGGCTGCCTGGGTAGACCCATAAAGGGCCTACTTGGGCAGCCCACTTGGACTCTCCTCATGGGAGCCAGAGTTGGTCTACCTGGGCCACCCACCTGGGCCGACCGTGGGGCCCACAGGGGGCTTGGTGGGCAGTCCACATGGGCCCCCTCAGACGGCCCGCAGCGGCCCTACGTGGGCAGGGCACACGAGGTCCCCTGGCAACCTAATCATGTTTGGGGTTATTTCACAGTTTTCGTGAAGTACGGCAGTACAGCCTTACTTTCCCGGTGTGCCTTCTGGGAGATTCATTGCATTTTAAAACATTTTATAGGTAAAAAAAAAAATAAATAAATAAACGTCCAGAGAAAGACCAGCGAAAATCAAATATTTCAAGTGTACGAAAAAAATAACTGAGGATATATACATATAAAATATTGTTAGACAGGTAACCGTTATGTGTAGCCATTTAGAACCGGATACGGACGCCCAAGTTTAAAACATACATTCACAAATATTTATTTTTGGAGGGTGAGCGCTGGCATTAAAAAAAAACTGCAGATCACAAAAGCCACCTACAACACTCGCTCCTCTAGTGGTGCATCAATTAAAAAAAAAAATCGAACACACAGCTGAATAAAAGAGGCTACTGCATTGCACCCATGTTTGCTTAACAAAGTAGCACACAAGGCGCTCTCCGACGCCCAAACGCACTCCCCGCTCAACCGTCGAAAGGGCACGAGGGTTAAAGGCTGGCCCAACACCAGCTGAAAACCTCCTCCCCCCCCCCCCCCCCCCCCCCACTCCCCCCGTTCCTCTTCCATCTCTTACGCCACCGCCGCAAGACGCAAAACGGAGACCCCGAGCGCTCGAACAAGCATGCGTCCGAACTCGCTCCAACGCCCAAAATTCAACAGCACCAGCTTCCCCCCTCCCCTCCCTTTCCCCGCATCTCTAATTGATCCTTTCTAACCCAAAACCACTTCCGCCGAACACCAAGACCACTCGAAAACGTCGTCCATGAGTTCGTAAAACTCCTTCACAAAACGTCTTTGTATTCGCGTAGAAAAGTAATGCGCGAGAGCGTTTACATTGGAAAAGCTAGAATGAACACTCGAGGCCCGGCACCCTGCCTTTCATAGCACGTGACGCCCCATGGTGTTGAGAAGGGACCGCCTCTTACCGCGTGAAAAATGAGGTTGAATTTTCCAAGCTCTTATTCCACAAGAACGCGAAGTTGGAAAAGATTTGTCCCCAGCACCTAGAAACTACAAGATACGTGGCACACTTCTGAGAACATGGGACGTGGTGTAACTATTCAGATAATAGTCACAATTCGGTGATCGGAGTACTTGCCAGCGAAAAAGGCGGGTCTTTGCGGGAACGATATTGGACGTCACATCCTAATAAAAGTCCGCCGAAAGTCCTGAATACCAAAGGAGAAGTACACGTAGCAGAGCGCGTTGAAAACTACAGAATACACAGAAAGAATAAAACACATTAAGGACGAACACAGACGCACAGAACTGTGTGGGTCTGTGTTCCTCCTTCATGTGTTTTATTCTCTCTCTGTAACCAAAGGAGACCAGGGTTTCTTCATTGCAATTATTTGTGTGCTGATGTTAGGGTGCTCTCACTAGCGAATTGTTCCGAAACCGGTGCAGCTTGTACCGACAACAGGTCGTGGATCTGTTGTTTTAATGCGTCAGCATTAGTGCTCTGGCACCAGAGTTAAAGAAGTAATTGTGCTTACATTTTTCTTGTGTTCAAATAACGTGTCGTTAACGCATTTCGAGGTTTGCCCCACGCACATGATCCCGCATGCTAACGGTATTTCATACACCACACAGGCTGGCTTGTTGGTATACTATATAGGATGCACTGAGAAATAGAAAAGTTAGCTGTGTTTCAGACATTCCCTTCTAGGTCTGTTCCTTCGAACAAAAGTATTTTCACTTTTTTCTGCACAACACACGTAAGTGTTAAACGACATGATTCTATCGTAGACTGGTTCTGCGTTTTTCAAAAATAGAAGTTCGGCAAGGAATAACCATGTTCTGTTCGGTGCTCGTCACGCTAATTCGAGTGATGACAACGAAGTAACTGCAAAATGTACAAATGTCAATAAAAATATAGCGGGAAAAAAAAAAGAGAGGGGGGGGGGGGGGTCAGGGGTTGCCTTTGTAAAAGCCATCGCTTGGAAGCTTACTGATTACCAGCTGAACGTTAGGAAAGCGACGAAGAGAGAAAGAAACACACTGCTGGTAATCAGTAAGCATGGATAACCAACCAATCTCTCTTCGTCGCTTTCCTAACGTTCAGCTGGTAATCAGTAAGCATGGATAACCAACCGGCTCAGCTACAGGCCATCGCTTGGAAGCGTCAGGCAGTTATTTTCTGGTGCCATATTATGGATCGCCTTTATGCCGCAACGCTTCTCAGGTTGCTAGTTTTGTCCTACCACGGTGGAACCCCCCAGAGCCGTCGCTCGGCAGCTCAAAAACGGATACCGGATACTCCGAGTCCCAAATCTGCGAGCTCTCGCTATTTGCCAGCGGAAGGGGCTATTGGTTCATATACTACTTAGCAAGCCCACGAAAGCAGTGCAACACTTCGCAATAAACAAAAAAAAAAAACACTTTTGGTTATAGGCTATCGGTTAGAAAACTTTGACGGACATCTCAAATACGTCAAGCATGTTTGATGGTTGCGTCAAAACACTTCAGAATTCCAGATAGGCTCCATAGACGGAGTTTAAATAGGCTCGTTCCGCTAGAGCGACGAACGCCAGTTTTTTCCAGGCCGCAAAGTAAAGCTGTGTGTTGTTGATTCTGTCCAACTGTAGCAACGAATATGACCGACAAAAACCGACAAACCATCGACGACAGTGCAGTTGTTTGTCGCCTGACTATTATCGCAGACACAGACGAAGCAGTCGCACCAGCGAACAACACTCGCCGATGAACCCGTCCACCAGATTTAAAAGCTGGGCAAGTCGGTAACCGTTCATGGTGATTCAAAAAAGTACAGGCAGCACCCTCACCGCTTTCGTGCGTCGGCCCTCTTGTGCTCTTCGTTGTTTACTTCATTTGCATCTGTCTGCTACAGCCATTTGAACTCGCTAGCCGTGTCCGCCCGGCCCGTGTCGCGAAAGGTGCCACAGCAACGGTAAAGTAAGTACTGCTGCTACGATAAGTACCAGCGGGTACTTACCGTAGTCGCCGAAGCCAAGGACTGGAGCTATGTCAAGGAAGGCCTTTTTCTTGGCGTGCTTTAATTTTATATGGAATGATCTACTCCCCTCCCCTCCCCCCCCCCACCCCAAAAAAAAAAATAAATCATATTCTTTATTTTCTGTACGAGGAGGCATTCCAGCTCATAGTTAAAGTCAGGAGCACATCGGTCGGGGGCACTCGTCATGAACGAGGCCATGGAGCACAAATAATTCTTAG